TCATGATACTGATTATAAATATCATTGAAATAAAATTTTACATAACCTTTTTGTAATTATATACTAAATAGTAAATACAAGAATGAATGAAGATGCCGATGTTGTAAATATAATTCGAATCTCTGAAATATATACTCAATTTAATAATAAAACGGTCCTATGTGAGAAGAGATAATATATGCGGAAATACGATCGACCTGGGAATTTCTCAATTAAGGGAATAATTGTAAATTTGCAAACTCGTTAGATCTACGATCCAGAGTTCCATGTATCTAAAATATGTTCTTGCAAGTAACCTAACGTTAAGTAATCGGAAAATACGCGCGTTCCGAGGCTTTATTAACTTTGTATTAAATTAGAAAATTAGGAACTTTCGGTCACGACGCGGTAGTGTGTATGTTAACGATGTTAAGATGGACGGTAGATTTACACACAAACGAAAGTAGCGACGATAATATCGATAATCTTAACGTGTTAGCCATTCGACACTCGTTACCAAACGGAGTCATTTCTCATCATAGAAAGTATAGTATCGGTCTACGAATTCGCAAAGAGAAATGGATCGGTGCAGAGAAAGGCAACGCGTCGCGAGTCGCATAAATTAAATCGTTGCGTCACAGCCGTCCAACGTTATCCGTCATTTCCACACGTCGAGTCTGCTATGCAAAATGATTATATTCCCGACATGACGCGCGATCGGGCGCAGATAAGTGGACGCGCGCGGATACGACCGTTGCATTATGCGCAACGCATCGCCCCGCGTGGAAAAGTTGGCTGTCGCCATGTGCACGCAATCTCGCAGATTGTGCAAAGTTGTCTGCTCGTATCGGAGAATCGAGAGCTGCATTCGAAAGGACCGAAGCCTTGGCAAGATAACGATGAAAAGGCCCCGGCCGCGCGCGCACGAGAGATTCGGGAATGGAACGTGAAAAGCTCCGGAGCGAGAAGGAGAAGCTCGCTCGCGCGTGTCACGCTCTTTTCGGCGCGCCCGGAGACGTTTTGCTATTCATAGGCGGAGAAAGGCGCATGCACGTTTTAACGTCGCGTTTCGACCGTAACCGTATCACGCGAGTCGCGAGGATGCGCTGCGGCGCGGCGGATGCATCCAATGGCGATGCATCGACGGACGTTATGACGGGAGAAGTGCAGTTAAGCCAGCAGCTTTTCATCGCCGAGATTGAGCGCCGCTATACTCGTGGAAAATTGTATCTGCATCGCATCATCTTTGAATAACATCGCTCGCAGAGAGGAAAAGAGAGAAAGAGGGAGAAACATCATGACGTACATTTTGGTAGTAAAGTTTAGTTAATCGTGCTGTTAAGACAATTATTAATGAACATAGTGAAACTCGAGGCGTACATTTTAATAACGTCTAGCTAATCGCGTCGTTAATTGTTAACGAACGTAGTGAAACTCGAAACTCTGGTGTGAAGCCTCTTATCTGACAGAATAAAACTGCGCATTTCAGATGAGATTTACAACGAGGTTATACCGAGGATAGGAGCAATTTAACTTTTTTTGTAAACGTAGATTAGAATTGAGATATCCGCGCGTGGAACAATCTCGCGATATTGCGAAGATACGTTCTCAGCGATATAAAGTAAGAGGAACTCCGCAGATCATGCTATCTTCCTCAGACGCGGCACGAGAGGCCTTCCATTTCCAGCGAGTGGAGAGAACATTGTCTCGAGTAGACACACGTGCGAAAGCAGTGTGTGCTCTGGAGAAACGTTAGCGGGAGAGTAGTCTGCCTCTGCCAGAACAGTACGTGGCAAAGTGGCATGGTCGCTTTTTAGTGGTCGTTACTATCGGAGACACTTTTCCGTAAAAGAGTTTACTGCTTCTCGTCTCTAAAATGCCCAGGCCGATGTATCGGTCTGAAAAAAAAAACCCCCTTTCTTTTTGTTTCCTTTACGAACTGGCAGTAAATATACTGTAAGCAGCATAAGTGTGGCATCTCTCCACTGTCGCGGCATCTCAACAATATGAAAAAAAAAGAAGAAAGAGATAAGTGGACAGAGAATTTATTCCGCTGCGAAATAAACTGCTCCGAGATCTCGAAAGTAAGTCTGCCGCTAACGTCGGGCATAAATAAAGAATCAACATAAACTGAATGGTAAGAAAGAATGATCGCGATGTTAAAGAAAACGTATAAGGCTGCGGAAGGCGGATTTAATTTACTGTAGAATTGAAAATAAAAAGCTCCAATAGCAACGAAATTAAATGAGCTCTCGGAATGAAACTTTGAAGGGAGTAGAAACAACTGACATACGCCGTGCCGCGTGTTGCGGTTCGACTCGAGATTGAAATATTCCTTGGACTGGAACGTGCTTCTTGTTTCCTTCTTCGCGTACCTGTATTACATTATTTATATCAAATATCGGTTTGTGTATATAGCAAAACTGACTGAAGATATAGTTCCGCAATGTTATTCGAAATAAAATCCTGTCCCGATTCAATAAAAATGTTTTTGCGCGTGTGCGCAAAAGAGCTATATATATAAGATAGGAGAAAAAATGAATTTTAAATCTACCTCTGCCTTTTGCTGATTGAGAACGTTGGCAACGTTAGTTGTACACGCGTGATCAAACGAAATGGGGCATAAAAAGAGTATACTTGTCATTTGCAAAGGGCTTGCTTTTTTTTCGTAAATTTTGTCGTAAACGCCATCGCCCTTTCGTGTTAACCGATGTTAGACCCGCGCCGCTACTGAGGATAACATCGAGCTCGCGTGTCACTGTTTATTTGGGTTAGGTTCTATTTTCGCTACCAGTCCACCACGGACACGAAACGAGAGCACAATAGCTGGACTCTTTGTCCGCCGTTAAATGAATCGCTTAGGGATAGGAAGGTGAGAGAAACACGTCTCTGGGAAACAGGAAAGATGTGTCAATCAACGTTCGATAACATCAGTGGCGTGCGTATGTCGACGTGAATGTTTCTGAAGCGGGGAATGTGTGGATTTATATAGTTAGGTGCAATGATAATTCCGTTTTTCATTCAAGTCACATTTTATCGTTTCCTCGGTCGAAACATAAACTTCTTTCCCCACAGCGAAATAATATTATGCCCTTCACACATATGGCTTCCTCTTTGTTTATTCACCTCTTCATTTTAATTCTACAACAATGCCATGTTTACGCAATGATTCCATATTTCTCCATGGCGCTGAAACACATCGGCTGGTCTGTAAGAGTTCATATTGCAGTTTGCCACTGAATAATTTTAGCGGTGGGTAAAATCCATCGTAAAATGCATTCGACGGATTAATCAAATATCGACCGCTAATGGCTGTTTGATAGAATTTCGGATCTCCGCTAAAAGCGTTTAAATGTATTCTGCAACTCGATTTTTTTCTTCGAATGGAATCAGTTAAGACCGAAAAACCGTGATAAAAGCGCAGGAAGCTATGCTGTTTCTGACCACTTCAACAAACGTCAACGCGTACGACATCTAAATATTTCTCTATACGCGCTCGAGAAAAATGGTAGAGAAAGCCGGGAGAAGTGCGGGACACAAGCGAGATAAAAGCACAGGGAAGGATGGGACAACAGAAACGACATCCTGGTCCACGCTATGCGTCCAGACCAGGAAAATAAGCCGATCGGAATCCCTAGCGGCGATACCGTACGAGTATGCGACAGTGGGATATGCAACAGCGAGCATGAAAGGAAATCGCAGGGAGGCGATTCCTTTAAGAGAATTTTAAATCTGCATGAGCCCTCAAACCGATAACACTCGTACTCGCGAGGTAAGAAAGAGATCGAAGAAACAATCGGAGAAGAAAAGCACTTCACTCTCCTGATGCACTCTTGATGCACGATATATCGCTATCAATATCAGGTCTATTTACGTTTATCTAGAAGAGAGTAAATTGTTTTCAGATGAACGGTACCGATACATAAGCGCAAGGAAAATAAAGATTTTAAGAGAAGACGATATTCTATTTATAAAGATATCATTGATAAAGAATAATACTAATATAATAGCATTACTAACAAAAAAAAGTCTATTCTCAATAAAATAATTAAGAGCAGTTAATTAATTAAACAAAAATACAATATATTTGTGTGCTCTTTTGATTATATTAAATTATTCATAATTAAATTAGAAAATACTGGTTGCATAATGTATATCTCGTGAGCAGAAACATTTGTTTAATACCATTACATGTCCGAAAGCCATTTTAAAAGAATGATAAAATTCATAATTTCACGGTATAATTTTTGTAAGTAACCGCCCGGTTAAATACTGAAAACCACCGCGCTTTACAAACGCCGGATTAACGTTCATGG